CCTTAAAGCTGGTGTCAGACCCAATTTTCCTCCATCTAGTGGCTCCTCCTATGGCAGAAGACTTTACCCTGGTTTAACTTGCTTTTTACCAATTCAGGCTCAAAGAGCTATACCTGACAACGTGGCATGGTGTCAAGAAGGAGTATCAAAGTTTCAGGGGACACTCGTGTTTATATCGTTGTTCCCTGAGAGATGTGGAGCTGGAACAAGCCCAAACCTGTCATCTAGACTTTCAGGAGCTATCCAGGAAGCCCATCTACCACGTCTCCGCATCCTTTCCGAGTCTTGGGAATGCAAATCCCCTGACTTGGGCTGGTGTCTCTTCACGGTTTTCTGACTCCAGTACCGATGGGTCTCTCTTTGGTCTGTCTGATAAGATACAAGAGCGATGTAAACTATGGTGACATGATAAGATTTTAGGAACCCACCACTGGCACAGTGCTGAGAGAATGAATGTGACCTCTGCCGTCATGGGAAAGACAGTAAGCTTCTTAGGTGGGCAATAAAGCAGCGAGCATAGATACTAGTGATTGCAAATTTTAGGGAGTGCCCTGAAGCCCCGAGCCACGGGTGCTGTGCCAGAGAACCATGACTGTGTAGGTCTGATTCAGATGGGCTTGTTGGAGAAGGCCTCTCTGGGGAGACAGCATTGAGTGACACTTGGGGAGAGGAGAGGGAGGAGGAGGGAGAGGAGGAGGGAGAAGGGGAGGGCGGCATTTACCAGGATCTGAGGCAGGAAAGAGTGGGGCTGCTGAAGGGACCCAGATAGCTCTGAAGGCTGGAATGTGGAGAGGGTGTCAAAGAAAGAGGTCAAATCACGAGAGGCTTGGTAAGCCATTTAAAGATTTGACCTTTTCCCTAAAAGCAGAGGGAGGCTCTGTTCTGAAGAAGCAGAAGTGTGTGAAGTGTGTGTATGAGGGAGGGGGGATGGAGAGGCTTCCATCTTAGAAACCTCCCTGGCTCCAGGGTGAAGACTGGTCCGTGGGTCTGGCCTCCTGGGGCTGCTATGGTGGTGTGTGATCGTCTGGCTGAGCTCCTTCTTACTACTCTCAGTGTGGGGGCTGGAGGAGGAGCCCTGCGGAGGAGCTCACTGATGGGGGGGCCTACTGGGGAGTGGGCGTGTTTGGAAGAAGCTCCAGGTGAGGGTGATCACCTCACCCCCAGGCCACTAGCCAGTTTCCCCCAGTGTCTTGCTGGAATGAGGTCCCTGTGACTGCCCAGACAAGGGCAGCTCTGTTTGGAGGAAGAGCCTGGGAAGAGGATGCGTTTACACCTGAGTCTTCCAGAGAGATTGGTGGGAAACGCGAGAGGAGCCGAGAGATGTCCGGAGAACATGGGAAGATGGAGCGGTCTGCAGTGGACCACAGCCTGCTCTTCAGACTCCAGGGTCCACCTTCCCCCGTGGACGCCCAGCCCTGTCTCTGCAATCTGGCTTCCTGAAATCTTGGGTGCTGATCTTTGCTGAGTGAAGAGGTGAGATGTGTCTATTCCCTTCCTTAAAGGGGATCTCCCTTCTCTAAACCCTGTTCTCCATCTTGTTCCCATTGTTCTCAACCTCCCTGAGGTTCGACCCAAAGCACAGGCCAAACTAGAACTCAGTGAAATGAAGGGTCCCATGGGGATGTCCAGGGTCCTGCCACGGTGGGTCTGCCTCTGCACTGCAGGAGGGCAGCCCACTCTTGTCGGCGGCTTGACCTCTGCGGTAGAGGATGGCCAGCCTGCCCTGGACAGTGGAGTGAGTGGTGGAAAGAGGAAACTTCAGGGTGGGGAAGAGACCCTTCCTTCCCTGGGAGTTTCATCCATTTCTGCTGTGTGGATTCTGAAATGACACCTCCTCCCCATCTCTCTAAGAAACCATCCCTGTAGAATATGGGTTTCTCCCTGATACACAGAATTGGATTTGGGGGGCTGGTGTGAGTTGGGGTGCTGTCTTCCACTTGATGGGGAATCTGTGGGGGCTCCTTGAAGTGGGTTAACAAAAATGTAAGGAGAGGATTTGGGGGGCCACACCCGTGCATGTGTAGGTTGGTTTTGTCTTGACTTTTAGTTGCCTACACTTTTTGGTCACTCATGAGGCCTGTGAGCATCAAAATTATAGATTATTGTTGATTCGTGAAAGAGAAGAATCTGGTGCCGCCAGGACCCTGGCGCAGCGTTCTGTGATTACATTACGTTTTGTAATTGTTTGGAGCTGGGTTATTTGCCCAATTCCAGCACACATGATTACTTCCCTCTCTTGCCTTGTAAATTGGATAAAGCTCTTATCAGTGTTCTCCCAGCCATAGGAAACGACCAGAGTTTTTCAGGCCCTCACACTGCGCTTAGAATTTCCACGTATCTAAAAATACCAGGCCTGGTGCTGTTTGTTTAACACTGTGAGTGCAGAGCTCTCTTTTGGACTCTACCAGTCTCTGCTGCAGAAAGCAGAGATTACAACAAACAGAAATCCATCAACAGGAGACCACAACTGGCCAGCGTTAGGGACACCCTCAGGGCTCGCCGTCTGGACGTCTGCAGACAGGGTCTTGGGAAGAACCAGGGTAGCTCATCATGCTGCCAGGTGGGTGGCCAGGCAAGCAGCCTCTCGGGGGGGTTCTTGGGGGAGCTCTCAGACCTGCTGTGGCAGATGCATACGGCTGGGCCTGCTGTGTGTGGGGAGAGGTGCTCTGGGTGGCCGGCAAGGCCAGGGCCAGGGGCCAGAGAGATGTGGAGCAGAGCTGAGGTGTGCCAGCATCTACCCACACATCCCCTGTGTGTGCAGTGCACCGAGTGCTCCCACAGACTCCCTTCCCAGCCAGCCTGACGAAGGACGCAGAGCTGCATGGTCCCTGTCTGCAGGGGACAGATCCTGACTCAGGTTTCATATCCCAAATGAAGGAAGAGACTTCACTGTGACTGAAACTTTGCCTTCTGATGCTGGCTGGTGCTCTTTCTGGTTTTTTGCTGGCTCACTGTCATCCCTGGGGTGAATGCTTTCTAGCTGCAAAACACCAGCCTCGAGTCAGAGAAAGGCGGAGATGTTTGGGTTTGAACTTCCTTGGACGTCAGAGAGATGTCGTCAGAGAGAGAAGAGGAGGGGAGCTTAGGTCCCTGCCCGAGGGACTTGCCTGACTGCTTTGTGGGATGTGAAAGGAGGAGACCTCAAGCACACAGCCTCAAGGCTAGAAACACAAGGGTACCTGAGATCTACCTGGGCTCCAGGTTGCATCCTCTGAGCTCTGTTCAGTTGGATGAAGGCGTCCCTAGCTGCAGCAGGCCTGAGTACCACGGTGTTACCAAGGATGCAAAAAGACCCGAACTTTGGTTATTTATGTGCGAGGGCTGCACACTCTTTCTACCGAGGAACCATGTATACTTGCTGGTAAGAGAAATTAGGTATAATTTTAAACAAAACACTTGTTATTTTTTGTGCTTAGCTATAAACGTTCCCTCAGTTTTCCAGGGTTTAAAAGTCTAGTTAAAAATAGGACTGTCAAAAAAAAATCAAAATTTCTAAAAATGGTTCCCAAGTAAGGGTTTATTTAAAATCTACTTATGTATTAATATATACAAATAACAAATATAAACAGTGTCAAAAAGCAAGAAACACAATCAAGTACTTAAAATTCTCTCCATTATTATTCAACTAAGAAAAAAAAAAAAACAACCCAGCTGATCTCTTTTTCTTTTTAAAGCAAAGCATTTTGAAGGAGCAGCCTCTAAAATTACTGGTAACATGGAGCCGTGGACCTCAGAATTGTGCAAGCTCAGCTGAATCTTCCTCCGGCTTCTCCCTGCTCTCCACCTTGGTGTCCACCGCACTGTAAAGGCTTCCTGTCCTTTTCCAGAAGGGCTGCCTCTCTGTGTATTTCTGTGCTCCTTTTGTGCAAGGGAACTTGGTTTGCCTGTGTTGACTCATCCCGCTTGGCTGCTGTGGCTGGTGGACACTTCTAGCCTGTACCTTGTGTCCCTTCTCCATTTTGCTAACAGTGGAAAATGTTCCTGTGCTCTCTGTGACAGGAAGAGGCAGGTAGAAAACAAAGCCTGGGTGACATCCCACTTCTGCTTTTCCTTAAGTTTAATTTGTGGAAGAGAAAGAACCAGGAAATGACCAACCCCCTCCCCTTGTCCCTGGAGAAAGTTCACTTGGACTCATTTCACTGCCTCTGGTTGCGGATGCTAAGAAGGAGTCAAGGACTCTCAGCCCTTCTGGAGCCCTGATGTCTACTCTCACCCGAGGGGGCTTGGAGAGAGCAGGGCTGGCCAGTGCTCAGTGCACAATGCTCGGTCCTCAAGCACTCTACAGGTTCACCCTCCGGCCTGTTCTCTCCCTGGCGAGAATTAGGTCCCCTGTGGGGCTGGGCAGGTCTGTCTGGGAACATGGTGGAGTATTCCAGGGTACTCTTCTTCCTCTTCATCTCTTTGAGGATGTATGTGGACCGATGTTCCTTACCTGGGGCTGTCTGTTGGCATCACAGGGAAAGGTGCTTGAGAAATTGTGGCATGGGCCCCTCTCCCCCATGGCAGCCTCATAATTATAAGTTACCAGGGAAGTAGCTCCACACCTCTGTTAAGAGCCACTGGTCTGCGAGGATGATGTGGAGCTGTTTGGAGGCCATCTGACCGTTGGTCCTGTTGAGTTTCCTGCATCTCACAGGGCGCCGAGGTAGCACGCAGTGCCCTGGTTGCAGGGGGGAAGGTGGACCATTTGGTGCTTGGGAAAATGAATGTTCGGTCATCCTTCACTATACAAAAGAGCTTTGCTAGGTGTCTTTGTGGACAGGGAGGCACAAGGAGCCTGGAACCAGCAATTAACAGGCCCACCCCAGTCCTGGCTCTGTTGCTGTATAGCCAAGAGACCATGAGGTCCTCATTTGATTGTTCTGGGCTTTGCTTTTCTGCTCAGAAGGAGATGAGGTTGGGTGACGTGTAAGCTCTTGTGAAGTTCTAGGCTACTTTGAGTTCAACTTAAAAATATTGCTTAAATAAAGTCTTATACAACTGACCTGTTCTCACCCCAGAAAACCATGAAACAGCAAAAAAGAAAAGAAAGACACCATTATTCCATGACAGAGACAACCTTTAGATGCCAGTTCCTGTGATCTGTGTCAAGGTGAGCACATGAACATGCATGTGTGTCCACAAACGTCAAAAAGCATGCGTTTTTGTATGTATGTATATTACAAAAAGGTGATTGCATCAATGCTGTCTTGTAATCTGTCTCTTTAGTTAGCATTTCAGGAACCCAGGACCACTTTTCCATGCCACTGAGCACATAGTTGACATCGTTAATGTATGGACAGATCCTTAGAGATCTTGGAGACTCCTGATTCTGCCCCTGACTAGCTGTGTGACCTCAAGCAAGTGACTTCATTTCTCTAAAATAGCCATAATAGTAATGCCTACCTCACAGAATGTTTTGAGGACTAAATCAGACAATATATGACAAATATGTTATGTCTGGCCCATAAAAGAGTCCAACAAATGTTAAGTAAAAGTGATGCTTTATAATTCCATTTTACTAACAAATGTAATACAATCATTGACCTCTTTTTGCATAGATTTCTCCTTTCTTCTATATACATTGATGCATGGATCATTTTTGTGGATAAATACTTACAAATATTTGTATATATTCTTACAACATATTCCTGAAAACATAATTGCTGAGCTAAAGGGGAAGTGTGCTTAAGAGATGTTAGTACGTAGAGCCAAGGTGTCCTATGGAAAGGTTACAGCTGTGTGTGTGTGTGTGTGTGTGTGT